GACCTGTGTGTTCGCCTCTCTCGTTTACACTGTATGTGCGAATCGGTGGGCGGGGCTAAACAGGCAGTGATGTAAAAGCAGGCGCTGATCTTTTCTGCGGAGGCGGTGTTTAGTCACACTATTACATCATAGAGTCGTACATTCCACAAGCTGTCATTTTAGCAGACTGGCTTCAATATAAGCCGTTTTTAGACTAACAAGAAAGTTTTGAGTTCTGAAACGTACAACATGTTTTTAATAGTACAATGACCTCTTATATGTAAAAAGATGAAGGGAATTTTGGTTGCTCAGTTCATGACCCCTTTAAATGCTGCTTGATTGTGCAAAACTCAGTGACACGATGCTTATGGTGTCTGAATGTTCTGGTACCAAGTTGCACGGTGAAAGTGTTTTTATTCTCTTGCTATAGTGTTTGGAGTGGTTTTTAGTTTTAATTTGGTTGCTATGGGGTTGCTAGGGTGTTCTGGATGTTTTTCACATTGCTATGCAGTTGCTAGTGTGTTTTGAGAGGGTTTTTAATCGCAGGGCTATGCGGTTGTTACAGCGTTAAAGTTGCTATGTTGTTCTGAGTGGTTTTTATCTTGCTGCTTTGCAGTTGCTAGGGTGTTCTGAGTGGTTGCTTACTGGGTCAGTCTTAACATCTCACCCACAAGTCTGTTCTCTAGATACTGGCTTGGTTCCCTCCGCCAATGTAATTCTATGGCACTTTTTAGCTCGATTATCATCTGATCAGTTATAAAAGTTACAGAACATTCAATAAACAGCACAACTTGAGGTATCATCCGTGTCTGCAGCATAAACAGTGTACTAAATGTCTAATTCTTCAGTTTGTTCAAATCACATGTGAGCAATAGCATTAGCGATGCTCGTCTTAAAACGCAAATGGTTTCTGCTGATAAATGGATTCATAATCTTTTAAAGCATAACATGTTACATCAAAGTAAATTGTTCCGGGTAAACCGTACAGACAGCAGAACTTTATTAACGCTGTAAATAACAGTGATTTCTCCTCTGCTGACATTCAATACAAGACACAATAATACAGCGTTATGTGCACAGTTTGCTCTTGCATGTAAAATTTGTTCTTTCACTTGCTTTGCGGTGCTACAGAAACAGCTGTGACACATTTCCCGGTGTTTTGAGGGAGAGGTCCAGACCCCCTGCAGTTTCTGTGTCCTTCCCTTGACTGTCTGTGACCTGACAAACACACACACACACACACACACACTCAGTCTGCCTTTTGGCTAACAACAATGACAGGAAACCAAGTTAGGTCGGCCCCTAAGAGTTTAGTAACAACAACACCACATACAGTATGGCTGAGCGATATAACAAAAAAAAAATCTCAATATTTTGATGATATCCAATATATACAGTAGCTTTGCATTTCTGTCATTCAAACAGTAACTGGTTCTAGCAAAACCAGGTCATGGGTTAAATTCCCCGAAAATCCATGAGCATATGAATGCAATGCAAATCGCTCTGGATAAAAGCATCAACCAAATGCATAAACATAAATGTATCTTCTTGATAATTATGAATTTGCTCTGAAATAGCCATTATTGCAACTGAAAAGCCACTGTATATAATTCAATTAAAAACTTTTAATGCGAGAACTAAAATACAGTAAAAATCTAGCTCAAAAATATGCTTTTCAAATGAGCACATTTCATTATTTGCATTTAAATGCACAAATATAAACTTACAAATTATATAATTTTTTCTAATAGAATATTTTTTTTTAAATTAAAAAAAAAAGAATAAATGAAAAATGCCACATAACACTTCCATGAACATTTTTGAGCGACCATCCAAACAAATAATTAAACTGATTAATTTAAATTGAAAGTCTGAACTGATTCTGAATCAAACTCATTTTTACTAATGACGTTTCCAAGACACTGCCCCAAAAAAGCACATAAATATTCATCATATTTGTCAATGTAAATCTAATATATTACCCTGTCGTAATACATAATGCACATATATTTTGCTGCTGGAGGAGGTGTTTGAATGCTCTGCACTGCATGCAATGTTCTCTCATGTTATAGATCTGTTACCGTGACAGTTCACCGTCGTGCACGCTCTGGGGCTCCGCGAGTGGGAGCATGTGGGATCGGACTGTATAATTACATATAACTGTGACCGTGATGCTTTTGTGTGAGTGTGTGTGTGTGTGTGTGTGTGTGTGTGTGTGAGATTAAGAGCATCGTTGGGAGAGTATGTGGGAGGGCTGGATCCCACTCCTGCCTGTACATAAACCTCCTCTCACTCTCTCTTCTATCTGTTCTCCTCCTCTGGCTGCTGACACCTCCATAATTAACCTCGGTGTTTGGCGCAGGGTGCGGGGGAGGCATCGGAAGCATGCATCTCTCACCTATCTGACCCATCCATCTGCTGAAAATCGCCCCGCCATCAAGAGCAAAGCTCAGGACAGAGATGGACTCGGGCGGACCGCACACCTACACCAGTGTATAGAAACTGCTCAGTCCCAAAAGTCCACTTCATACTAACCTCTCCAAAAGAACAGTAATTTTCAAATGACAATCCCTACTACAGGTGTCTTGAGCTCAAGCTGACTTTTGACTACAATCTGACAATCAGTCTGATGTCTTTGCGGATTGTTCTGGACAAGAGGCCACTTAGTAAGGAAGTGAACGCAGATTAACAGTTAAAATGATCAACCACAGCTTGCTCTGTTTATACGAAGTTTAGTGCTAGTTAATCTAAAATTAAATTCTTGAAGCTGACTATATAAAGCTCTAGGTTTTTAGGGGGGGAGAATTAACTTAACACCCTAAAATCCTAAAAATGCAACACACACACACACACATTAAAAACACTGTTCCAAAAGAAAAAGAAAAAGTTTTTTATGTAACAATTAAAGATGAAACTTTTCAGAAAGGGTTTTTATTGTCTAACAGCTAATGCTAAAATGCTAAAATAATCTAGAAAAACTCAATCGACTAGTCATTTGTGGACAATTAATCAACTCTCCTGATCCATCTCTACTCTGTGACTGATGTCCAAAACCACACCTTTTGAATTGAAAATTAACCCTTGACATCCTAACACATTTATGACCCGAAAAGAAAAAAAAAACATTTAAAAAAAGGATCTAAATTTTAAAAAATGGAATTTGAATTTCAAGAATTTGAATTTCAAATTGTTTAATTTTATATTGAATTCAAAGATGCAACATTTCCGAGAGGGTTTTTATCATGCAAAGTGTTTAACAGCTAAAGCTCAGAATGGTAAATAAAGCACTAATGCTAAACCTAGAAAAACAAGAAAAAAAATTTGTGGACGTTTAGCCAACCTTTAACCTTCATGATTCACCTCTAATCTACGATTGGATAGCCGACCTAAAACTCAAGTTTTGAATAGAAAATTAACCCCTGACATATCAAACCACAGGAAATGTATGTCAAAATAAACATTCATGACCTGAAAAAAAGCCCCCAAAAAAAGTGTATGTGCGCTGAATTTGAATAAAGAATGGGCGGTTGAATTAGAATTTTGATAGTAAGTTTCAAATTTAAAATAGAATTCAATGATGCAACTTTTCCGAGAAGGTTTTTTATCATGCAAAGTGTCTCACAGCTAAAGCTCAGAACGATAAATAAAACACTACTGCTAAACCTAGAGCTAGTGCTAAACCTAAAAACAAAGGAAAAAATCTAAATAATCTAGAAAAAAAACAATAATCAACTAGTCAGTTATGGGCGAATAATCTCTACTCTTTGATTGGATTGATATATGACACCACAAGTGTTGAACTGAAAATTAACCCATGACATCCTAAACCTCAAGCACTGTAAATAAACATCAAGCACTGTAAATAAACATCTACCATTTATGTCAAATAAAGCCGTTCATGACCTGCAGCTCACTGAGTTTTCTTTAATACAATATGCAGTTGTTATCTGTGACCTGTGCTGCTCAAATGCTCCACTCAATCCCCGCGCGTCCCAAAAAGCCTCTGAACACAGAGTGACGCTGGCAGATGGCTCTGCTGACAATGATCAGGTAAATGTTGTGTTGTGTGTTGAAAACAGCGGTCTGAATGCAACGCTAATGTGTGTCAGGGCCCTGAATCCTCCATTAGTGTGGTAAAAGCGGACCAGATCTCCTCCGTTCCGCCTCTCGCAGGGCTTCGGGGACGTGAGGGGCCTCCAGGTTTTTCCTTTTCCACCTGAGGTCCTGGCTGCCTAATTGAATTAATCATTTGCTAAATGAGGCCTGGGCTGCTGTAACCCTGTGCTATCAGTGTATAAAGGGCTGAAACCATCCACACACACACACACACACAACCTCCCAGACCACAGCTGGAGAGAGATAGAGGCGAGCTATAATTAGTGAGCGCATTACACAGAGAAAGAGACCAAGAGAGAGATAGAACCAGAGAATTGTGCTGCAAAGATAATGTGTGCACAGAGCGAATGCAAATGAGCTGCACGCGATAACAACCTCATTCAACCTGAGAAATACAAGATAAACTTCAGATCTCTTCATTTATTGCTTCCATCAGAGGCAGAACTGCATTACGATATTTTAACTTGAGACCAATAAAAAAAAAAAACCTGAAAAAGAAAGACACAAAGAAAACTGAATACATTAATTACTTAGTAAAAGGTCAAACAGATCTTTGTGAGAGAGTTTAAAATATGAAAAAGTGGCAATTGTGAGAGGAAAAAAAAGTCACAATTGTGAAAAATAAAGTTGCAATTATGAGACACAAAGTTACAAGTTAAGACACATAAGCCACAATTGCAGTGACTGTCTGTGACCTGACAAACACACACACACACACACACACACACACACACTCAGTCTGCCTTTTGGCTAACAACAATGACAGGAAACCAAGTTAGGTCGGCCCCTAAGAGTTTAGTGCTGTAAATAACAGTGATTTCTCCTCTGCTGACATTCAATACAAGACACAATAATACAGCGTTATGTGCACAGTTTGCTCTTGCATGTAAAATTTGTTCTTTCACTTGCTTTGCGGTGCTACAGAAACAGCTGTGACACATTTCCCGGTGTTTTGAGGGAGAGGTCCAGACCCCCTGCAGTTTCTGTGTCCTTCCCTTGACTGTCTGTGACCTGACAAACACACACACACACACACACACACTCAGTCTGCCTTTTGGCTAACAACAATGACAGGAAACCAAGTTAGGTCGGCCCCTAAGAGTTTAGTAACAACAACACCACATACAGTATGGCTGAGCGATATAACAAAAAAAAAATCTCAATATTTTGATGATATCCAATATATACAGTAGCTTTGCATTTCTGTCATTCAAACAGTAACTGGTTCTAGCAAAACCAGGTCATGGGTTAAATTCCCCGAAAATCCATGAGCATATGAATGCAATGCAAATCGCTCTGGATAAAAGCATCAACCAAATGCATAAACATAAATGTATCTTCTTGATAATTATGAATTTGCTCTGAAATAGCCATTATTGCAACTGAAAAGCCACTGTATATAATTCAATTAAAAACTTTTAATGCGAGAACTAAAATACAGTAAAAATCTAGCTCAAAAATATGCTTTTCAAATGAGCACATTTCATTATTTGCATTTAAATGCACAAATATAAACTTACAAATTATATAATTTTTTCTAATAGAATATTTTTTTTGAAATTTAAAAAAAAAGAATAAATGAAAAATGCCACATAACACTTCCATGAACATTTTTGAGCGACCATCCAAACAAATAATTAAACTGATTAATTTAAATTGAAAGTCTGAACTGATTCTGAATCAAACTCATTTTTACTAATGACGTTTCCAAGACACTGCCCCAAAAAAGCACATAAATATTCATCATATTTGTCAATGTAAATCTAATATATTACCCTGTCGTAATACATAATGCACATATATTTTGCTGCTGGAGGAGGTGTTTGAATGCTCTGCACTGCATGCAATGTTCTCTCATGTTATAGATCTGTTACCGTGACAGTTCACCGTCGTGCACGCTCTGGGGCTCCGCGAGTGGGAGCATGTGGGATCGGACTGTATAATTACATATAACTGTGACCGATCAGTGTATAAAGGGCTGAAACCATCCACACACACACACACACACAACCTCCCAGACCACAGCTGGAGAGAGATAGAGGCGAGCTATAATTAGTGAGCGCATTACACAGAGAAAGAGACCAAGAGAGAGATAGAACCAGAGAATTGTGCTGCAAAGATAATGTGTGCACAGAGCGAATGCAAATGAGCTGCACGCGATAACAACCTCATTCAACCTGAGAAATACAAGATAAACTTCAGATCTCTTCATTTATTGCTTCCATCAGAGGCAGAACTGCATTACGATATTTTAACTTGAGACCAATAAAAAAAAAAAACCTGAAAAAGAAAGACACAAAGAAAACTGAATACATTAATTACTTAGTAAAAGGTCAAACAGATCTTTGTGAGAGAGTTTAAAATATGAAAAAGTGGCAATTGTGAGAGGAAAAAAAAGTCACAATTGTGAAAAATAAAGTTGCAATTATGAGACACAAAGTTACAAGTTAAGACACATAAGCCACAATTGCAAGAAATAAATGTATTTATACATTTCTTTTTTTCACTGAAATGTATATAGGCATCCATTTAAAAAATAAAAACATCAAGCATTAACACATTTTTTATATATTTTTATAATGTTTTTAAAACAAGTCTCTTCTGCTCACCAAGACTGCATATATTTGATAACAATACAGTAAAAAATATATATGTTATATATGTAATTATATATGTAATATATGTTAAAATGTAATTTATTCCTGTGATCAAAGCTGAATTTTCAGCATCATTACTCCAGCCTTCAGTGTCACATGATCCTTCAGAAATCATTTAATATGCTGTTTTGTTGTTCAAGTAACATTTCTTATCAGTGTTGAAAACAGTTGTGCTGCTTCATATTTTTGTGGAAACCACAATATATTTTTTTCAGGATAGTTTGATTAACAGTTCAAAAGCATTTATATGAAATATAAATCTTTAACATCGTAAATGTCTTCAATGTGACTTTAAAGTGTCCTTGCTGAATAAAATAATTAATTTCTGACTCATGATGTAAAATTATTCATACTGCGATGTAAGATTTTGGTCATACCACCTACTTTATATCAAAAAGACCAAACTAGGTTAGCAAGCACCCAGTGGACATTTCCATGCACCTTAGGTAACTAACAGTTGCAAGCACGAGAGGATGAAATCCTCTAATATGCCATTAACATGAATGAATAAAAATGGGTCAGCAGGTAGGATTACACAGCAACATTACTGCTCCGGCAATCAGTTAAATTACTCAGCGTCAGGATTCAGATCATGAATAAAACTCAGTCCTGTCACATCATCGGCTAAAAAAGCCACCCAGTAATCCCAGTACAGCCTGTATATATGCAGTACGGAGACACCATGTCCTCTCTACTCCATTTAACACATTCACCATGTTTACATGCATTACACTGAGGTCTGGAGTTTCCCCTAAAATCAATACAAAAATGTGCAAAATTGTTTGGAGATTGTTTTGGAGAAAATAGAAATATTGATTTCTCTGCTATTTTTGTGCAATGAAACAAAGACTGATTGAAAAAAAATGCCCGAAACACTAACAGAAATTACAGACCTGTGTTCTTCATCTATGTTAAAACGAATTAAATTGAACTGAACCATACATTCTTATATCCCTTATGATACTGCACATAATTCATTTAATTCACGGTAATGAATTGGTACTTTGCACATCTTAATCTTAAATCACTCTTTTTTTTTTTTTTGCATCTATATGCAATAAAAGTTTTCATCGCATCTTAATGCAATAACATTGTTATTGGTGGGTCTAAATGCAATAACATTTTAAGCATCTAAATACAATAACGTTTTTGCATCTGAACACATTTTTTGCATCTAAATTCAATAACATTATTTGTTGCATCTAGATGCATTAACATTATTTGTATGCAATATCAAATGCAATAACATTACTTTTTTCTGAAAATGTATATTTTTAATCTTCTGATGTAAAAATATTAACATTATAACTAATAACATCTTGTTAGGGTAGAACACTTATATATACGTCCTATTTACGCTTAAAAGTTTGTCACATAAGTTAAATAAGTTCAAGTGCATTAGGGTGTATTCACACCTGTCTTGTTTGGCTCGACTGAATCGAACTCAAGTTCATTTCCCCTCTTGGTGCGGATCTTTTGGGCAGGTGTGAATACAGCAATCACACTCGGGTGCGCACCAAACAACCGTACCGAGACCCAGCTGAAGAGGTGGTCTCGGTCTGCTTACAAACAAACTCTGGTACGGTTGAATGGATGAACCAATGAATGGATGACGTGTGGTTTTGTTTACAGTTTCTGGTTCACTTGCAAAAAGGGCAGCGTGAAAGCGAACCACACCAAAAAAAAAAAAATCAACATTGTATTTGGTCCAGACCAAGGCAAATGAACTAGCGGACTTTCCAGGTGTGAATACACCCTAAGAGAAACAATTATTAACACAATGGGTAAGTAATGCAACAAACCAAAGCCTGTCCATACAGCAAAATCACACCTACGACAGCTAAAACCACATTTCGTTCTCTCGTTTGATGCTCCACCAAAACTCATTGAAGGCAGCTGCCGTAGCATGTTTTATAAAAGACCAGCGAGTCTGTTTGAGCCATCGGTGTCAGAGAGAATTAGAGCGGTGAGACAGTGTTAACTCCCTGCTGAAGTGGAGGAGGACGGATGAAGAGATGGAGGGGAGATGAAGTCTCTCACACCTCCAGTGTGGTGGCTGTCTGCAGGTGCTGCTCTGCCAGAACTACAGGTGCAGGACTGAGTCACGCAGAGGAACGACAGACAGACCACTTGTAAGAAAATGAATGGAAACTGCATGATACAACGTCCTCAAACAAACAAACCAGGACTTGTAAACATGTACTACATTCATTTATGGGCATAAAATGTCATTCAAGCCATCATTTGGCTCTTAAATCAGAGGAAATGCAGTTCGGGCCTATAACAAAACAAAAGCCTGGGACTAAATTTCTGCTTCGAACCCTGATGAGGTGCAGCTCGGATCAGCAGGATGCTTCACCGAACAGAACAGACGAGGAAAAGCCTCTTACACTCATATACCTAATAAGGAAAAGCTTCAAAAGTCCAATCCTTTAATGCGTCTCCTCAGACTGCAAAACAAACCAAAGCGAAAAAAAGCAAAAAGACTGGCTTTATCGTCGTTAAGCCATCTGCTTTACGCACAGCCATCTCCAGGAGAGATTATGACCATTTATGTAAAATCCTTATTCACGTCAGCCATCAGGATCTACTGAGTGCTCCTGGGTTTTGCATATAGCAGGAAATGAGACAAGACAAGCCCTGTTGTACGCACATACACATACCTTTGCGTGATTAAACACGTCAGCTGGAATGAGGCGCAACTTGCAAAAGGGCAATCGTGGGTCCAAAAAAGGTATGTGCACATTTAGTCACTGATGGAACGACTACACAAACACCTCGTTCTTGATTTCAGCCCACGTACAGTATTTACACACAGTTTCTCTTGCGCATCAACATTTACAGTAGGTATGGCGGCCATTTCGCATCCTGAATCAATGCCAGCAAGAAATGAGAATTATAAAAAATAACAGAGCGTGCTAAACTGACTGTGAAGGGTACGTCCTAATTGGGCGCAGCGTCTACGGTCTTCAGCCAAATGCACGAAGCAAAGAGCCAAACGGGGGAGGAGGACTGGCACAACTTGACAGATGACAAAATGCACCAGGGCCCTTATTAAAGTTTCACTGATAAAACACAACACTTGTAAGCGATCAAATATTAAACCCATTCCCATCTATTCCGTAGCACCATTGGCGGCACAACGCATCACTTCCTGGTAATATGCTTCCTCATTGTGATGACTGAATGTTCTGGATTCAAAATGCATGAACAAACTGACCCTAGTTTAATTACACATGATTGCATGTTATTATGAGAATTTTTTTTTTTAATACTTCATCAAAATGTGATTTGTTCCGCTTCTAAAACAAATTTCCTGTTCTGATGACATCACCAATCCCTGGCACTTTACAGCCCCGCCCCCTCTATCCACCTGCCATATAAACCAGCAAGTCAAATCCAATTAAAAACACATTATGTTCCTTAATGAATATACTTTTTCATTACATTTCAGATGTAAAGGACTTCTCGAAATATTTGATCATGATTGGTCGATCCATTTAGCATTGTTAATGGAGTCGCCATCCACCATTTGCAGAAGCTCAGCAAACACGACAAGTTTTTTGCAGGCCGACTCTGATACTGAGCAGACCTGGCGGAGTGAAAATGTGTCAAGCATGTATAAATCTACAATCGAGGCTGTGATCGGGACACTTAAAAATGCATGAGTTCTTTTTTTTTTGTTCCACTGTCTGCTGCTGCACTCCTAGAGCGTCCTGGAGAGAGAGAGAGAGCGCGGACACAAGTGCCTCTTTACAAGCCGAACATGATTCACTAGATAACAAAAAACTGATATAAGTGGTATATTTCAGGAGAGTATGAAGAAGAACACAGTGGCTCTGTTCCAAAACCTAGTGAGCTGCCTACCTAGGCAGCATTTGAAGACATCAGATACGCTTCTGACAAGAAGCCTGTTCCAAAAGGTAGCAGCATGATTACTATGCTGATTGTGCTGCATTATAAGATCTGCGTTAAAGATTTCTGGAACAGAACTATGTTTTACGACAAGCTCAGTGAAAAAGATAATGGATATTATGTATACAAATTATTATTATTAACAAATATATATATATATACACTATTTTACCCAATATTTGTGAGTGCATTTATTTTGTAGTATTTGAGTATCATGGAAATCCTGTGCATTTCATTTGAGGAATGCTAGTTATACAGAGCACTCCGAATCAATCACTTAAGGTGTCATTACAGTTAAGATGTTGCCTATGTAGACAGTAAACCCAAAGGAAGCTCACTAGATTTTGGAACAGTGCCTGTTTTTGTTTTTGGCAAACTCAAAGCTTCCATTTTTAGATGCTTTGCTTTAAAAAGCCGAACTTTTATCTAAGATGCTTTGCATTTTAGGCCATGCTGGCTTGTGTTTGTTTGTTTCATGGGACTTATTGTCATCTTATCCGAATTGGAGATGAATATAGATCGCTCCTTTGAAAGAGAGGACACCTTTGATCATTTCTTCAGAGACTGGCCTTAATTGTGAGCGGAGGATTGACCTTTAGACTCTGATGGAGCAGTAAGGGTGGTAGTGACCCTCCTCCACGGAAAGGTGGAAAACGGAGGAGGGGGAGGTCAAATTAGGGGTCTCTGAGAAGAGATGAACAGGCAAGTTTTCTTAAGTGACCGCATGAAACCAGTGTGGTCGGTATGGCTCAATTCTTACATTGATCTGGAATGAACGACAGGATCAAAGCATCCAAAAAGCAAGTTTTAGATGTTTTCAAAATGTCTAGGACATTTTTAAGGTTGACAAAACACGAGGAGCTCCACCGCACAAGCAAACTCATCAATGGCTTCAGTTTATAGGAGTGCACCAGAGATTATTGTGAATACTGTATATCATTACTGCAGTGCTGAAATGACCTTTAATATGTCAAAGCGTGCAGTTTATGACCCTGACATGTGAGAATAGATCTCTCTACCGCAGATGAAGTCTAATTCATTATTATACAGCCATGCATCCCTCTGTTCGTGTCATATTAATTGGTCAAATGTCAATTAAGCAATTCAAAACAAGTGTCTGTCTGACTGCCCAAGGGTTTCATGTGCAAGAGGAAAACAGCTGAATCCTGCTTGCAAATCAATAGCAGGCCAAACGACAACATAAAGATATGAAATGTTTTTCACATAATGAAACTCTAGCCCTAATGCCATTGCTGTTCTCGTGCAAATAAACGAAATCTCCTTTCACAGGACATCCTGGCACAATGTGTATTATAATATTCTGTTATTTAGATTGGGTGGGTGTTGATTTGCACAACAAATGGGGTTCGCATTGTTCAGTTACGCACACAAACAAACCATCGGACATGTTTCACCGCTCCATATGGTGGAGAAATAAACATTTTTACCTGTACGAGATCTGTTTCCTGAACGCCAGACCTTTGAGTTTCTCCTCCAGCGAGTCTTCCATGTTGGCGAAGCTGCTCAGACTGTCGCTGCCGCCCATCGGCGGGTCTCTCCCGCAGCCGCGTGTCTGCTCGTCCGCTGATTCTCCGCCGGCGGCTCCTCTGCTGCTGCGCTCCGCCTGAGATGCGCGAATGTTGGCCAGGGGGTCCATCATGCTCCGGTCGGCACTGAGTGGACCCCCTTCTCTCCTCTAGCGCTTAAAAGTCCTTCCAAAACGCGTCCTCCGTTGTCCCTCATGGGATGAATAATATCTATCTATCTATCTATCTATCTATTCCGATTCACTCACGTTACGCGTACGCACGATCCGCGGAACTACAACAACATCTGCATCCATCCGCCAGACCTTTGAGTTTCTCCTCCAGCGAGTCTTCCATGTTGGCGAAGCTGCTCAGACTGTCGCTGCCGCCCATCGGCGGGTCTCTCCCGCAGCCGCGTGTCTGCTCGTCCGCTGATTCTCCGCCGGCGGCTCCTCTGCTGCTGCGCTCCGCCTGAGATGCGCGAATGTTGGCCAGGGGGTCCATCATGCTCCGGTCGGCACTGAGTGGACCCCCTTCTCTCCTCTAGCGCTTAAAAGTCCTTCCAAAACGCGTCCTCCGTTGTCCCTCATGGGATGAATAATATCTATCTATCTATCTATCTATTCCGATTCACTCACGTTACGCGTACGCACGATCCGCGGAACTACAACAACAGCTGCATCCATCCGCGAGGACATTCTGGGATTTGCCTCCCCATCCTCCTCCAGCATCGGGAATGAATGTAGGGCAGAGGGGTCTCTGACTGGACACGCTAAATGCGTGGTGATCTCTGACGTGTGCGTGATAGAAGCGTCTCTGCTAAGAGAGCGCGAGCGAGACGCGACGCGACGCAGAAGAAGCGTGTTTACGCGAGCGTTTAAACCGGACCTGATTGTGATAACAAACCCTTTGTTCGGTCAGGAACCTCCTGAAAAATAAATAAATACACTAAACACTTTTTAAATAATAAACATAGCTTCTTTAGATTTATGGCGCTTGTATATTTCCTTTAAAAATTGCCGTATTATAACCAGACTGTGGAGGGTTCATTAATATTAGCATATTGGCCACGCCTCCATAACTTTTGTCACGACAGCATAGGACAGAAGAGCGAATATTGTAATATTATTATTCTTTGGCCACCCCCCCATTATTTGATTTGTCGGAAAAGCCTTAGATGTTAATGTTAATATAATATGATCACATTAAATCATATATTTGTTAGTTCAGTACCTTTCTTTATGGTTTCACTTGTCCTCGAGTGTTAACTGCTTATTCTAATCCTACAACAACAACAAAAAAACTATGGTATTGTATTATTTTTGTAAAAATGTATAAAATACATTTAAAAAAATAAATAAAAATGATGACGTGCAATTAATGTGCATTTTGATATTGATAATGGCAATTTTTGATAATAGCACAAAAAAAAATTCCGCCTGATAGAGAAACATTTGGGTGAGCAATAAATTTATTTTAACTTTATAAAAAATACAAATAAATTACTCTTTTCACAGGACACCCTAGCACGTCCTTTTAAAAATGAGAAAAATGATTCAAAATGGCACATTGAATCTTTTATCAAACTAGAACAAATGCATTTACCCAAAATATCCAAGATATACTGCCGCAATTGAAGAATCACCTCCATATGTCCACAACAGCACATTTATCCAAGGGTTAACATATCATTTTTCCAAGAAGTCATGAGAGTCTAGAGACTACATGCATTTTTCTTCTAACACAATTTGGCTAATGTGATTTAATGTATGAAGTGCACCATCTGAGCTCTCTGATGTGGAGCAAACACCTTTCTTTTGCATAAAACCCCCTGAGAGGCAGGAAAAATACAATGCAGATCCAGTCGTAATGAAAATAATTAATAGTCAAGCAACTAGATGACATAAAAACATCACTCAACATCCTAGTAAGACAACAAATATATATCAGTCTAATTTAATATAAAGAAAGCCAACATGGATACACAGCAAAACGACGGCTCAGGCGCCTGATTTACAATGCTTTTACTAAGGAAAATATGTATTTGCTCACAGAAAAAAACAGGACATAAACAAGCCAGAGTGATTTCAGAAAGAGCCAGAGATTGCATTGTGATGCAATGAAAGTGTAATATAGTTAAGACGTTATGCCAACTGCATAAGAAATGCACACCATTTCCGACACGGATGTTGCGTGACAAATGTTTGCATCTGAATGCATCACATCACGACAACACCATCTCCTTCGAAATGCTCGTTTCCAGGATAAAAGGATGGCAGGCATGCTAAAAAGAATAAATAACAGATTAATTCTACGAGGATGCAGTGCAAGTGAGTCGCAGATCGCTCGGGACTCGGGTCGTCACAGTCGTTCATATCAGAGCAAGAGAACGCTAGACTTGTCAGCGAGCGTCTTTTACTCCCTCAAGAGTGCAGACGGGGGTTGGATGGTGGCCAGATGAGGACAAAAAGGGCCATCTGTCCTTAATAAAGAGGGCAACGTCATACGAGGGACTTCAGGGACAGAGAGCATCCGTCCTTTTCATGTCAAGCCCATACTGTCCCGCTTTCATCACCCTCAACCGCAAACATCTCCACTGATATCAATCACATCAATTCATATCTCTCCCAACACGCTTACAATATAGGATACTGCAAATATTTACATATTCAGACAAATGCTTTGGAAATTTGCCATCTTCAAACTCGCAAACAGAGCTTTTAGTGTATAATCTGAATACAGTTTGAATCTTTGCACAATTTTTTTAATCTTTGGAACTGTATTTCGATTGACATGCTACATCGTTGTCATGTGAATATGAAAACAGATGCAAATTCAATATATTACTACACAATCTCAGTAGCATGGGGCAAATAGGCGAAAAAAGGAAAAGAAAGAACACTAAAGCAAAAATTCAAGGCATATAAAAAAAAGAAAATAGTGTACACGAGTATCAAAATTAGATATACTGCTGGAATGGAATAAAAATACATTCGTGAGTTTTTGTGTTTATTTTAAAAAAAGGACACCTAAGTAAAACAGTACTATAAATATGAAGCCTATGGCCCGCCGCTGCAGGGATCTCAGGACGTCTCGTTGACGGTCCTCTCCAGCTGTATGACTTTAGCCGTCTCGTTAGACCACTGATCTGACCTGCCAAAACAAAACCCAGTGTTCAGCATCCATGTGTCATCAAATCATCAAATCGAAAGCAGCCAAGGCCAAGGACGGTCATCGTTACCTGTGTGAGTGCAGGTCTATGAGAATGGCCTTTTGCACTCGTGTTTCATTGGTGTTTAGAATATGTGGGCGGGGCTCTGCTTCACGAAGCTCCGCCTGCTCCTGTTTGTGCTGCTGTTCTAAACGCCAAGCCGCCATTTCATCGGCCTGACGGTCCCATTCAGGATAATCCCCGCCCAGCCCGACGGGATGAGGCTCGTCCAGACCCCCATGCTCCGGAAGGGACAACAGGTTCCGGGACCTCACTGTGGAAACAGCTCTTTTATTAGTACAGTAGTGTTTTGTTAAAGCGGTGCATTAACTGAATGACGCGCGTGGGAGAAACGTGATGCGGGCGGATCAGAGATCAGCGATGGCTCTGCTTTTAAAGGCATGATAATTACTGGCCCACTCCAGCACTGATAATGACTCTCAGCAGCTCAAGAGTGGATCCAAATCCAGCCATTCCTCCATTCATTAGTCAACAAGAGACCGAGAATAACGAGCAAATTACAGCAGAGACTGCAATAGACACGAGTGCTGAGTGTATTAGGGTTGGATCGATATGAAAACGTTCAGTATGACAGCGGCTCTAGTACCTCTGCATTAATGCTAAATCCATATTTTAGTCAACACAAACAGCCTCACTCCCTTTAATATTGTGCACGGAGGCAGATGAAGACCGACTGCTGAATACGTGTAATAGATTATTATATCATGCAACAGGAACATTTATTAAACCAATAACTGGAATATACAGCGGGGGGAAATAAGTATTGAACACGTCACCATTTTTCTCAGTAAATATATTTCTAAAGGTGCTGTTGACTTGAAATTTTCACCAGATGTCTGTAACAACCCAAGTAATCCATACATACAAAGATAACTAAACAAATAAGTTCAGAAATTAAGTTCTGTGTAATAAAATGCAACGACACAGGGAAAAAGTATTGAACACGTGAAGAAAGGCAGGTGCAAAAAGGCATGGAAAGCCAAGACACCAGAAATCTATCAGTAATACTTTTTTTCCCCACTGTATGTATATATATATATATATATATAATCTGTCAAATTAATATATTTCTAAATATATAGTATGTTTGTGTGTGTGTGCGTATATATATGCACACACATAAGCTATAAATAAATATCATATTAATTACTAATATATTTTAACATAATATATATAAAAAATTATCTATCTATATACATATATAATTGTGTAAAGTGATAATATATTACATACACATAATTATTTAGATATTTATATTATTTTAAAATATATTTTAATATATACAAATGTATATCATATCTAATTAGAAGTTGCATGTTTTTGTACCGCTATCCCAGCATGCATACCTGTAGTGGTGTATGAGTCCTGTATGGAGATCTCTCTGCTCAGGTCTGTTTTGGTGATGGAGGAACAAGGGCTCAGGCCTTGGTAGAAACTCCCCAAGAACACCGAAAAACACAGAACCACCACCTGCACACATACAGCAGTGCTTCTGTTAGTGCTCATTCTCTCTCTCTCTCTCACACACACACACACACACACACACACACAGCTGAACGTTGATGCAGGAGCGCTCACCATGAGGCATGTGGAGGTCTGGGTGCCCGTCACCCTGCAGGACCGCGGGACCTTTCCTGCCACCGCCGCCTGCAGCGAGTGCAGCTGCTGCAGCAGAGACCTGCCACACAATCAATACAGCACTGTTTACATAGCATGTATCATTAATGACCGAAAATTCAGCCCGCAACAGAAAGTGTGAGATCAAACTGAGAGCGGATGAGTTAACGATCGCTGTAACGTGTAGTGCAGGTAACTGGGGGAAGTCGTGGCCTAATGGTTAGAGAGTCGGACTCATAACCCAAAGGTTGTGGGTTCGAGTCTTGTACCGGCAGGAATTGTAGGTGGGGGGAGTGAATGTACAGCGCTCTCTCCCACCTTCAATACCACGACTGAGGTGCCCTTGAGCAAGGCACCGAACCCCCAACTGCTCCCCGGGCGCCGCAGCATAAATGGCTGCCCACTGCTCCAGGTGTGTGTTCAGTGTGTGTTCACTGCTGTGTGTGTGCACTTTGG